GGCCTCAGATATGACTTTACTGGAAGAAAATTCTATTGAAATGACAAAGACAGTGTAAAAGCAGGAGGACAGAAATCTGCAAGAGGCGGAGAGAGACACATAATCAGGTATCCTACTGGAGTTTCAAAGGGTTTGAAACAGAAGTGATCATCTTACCAAGTAAATGCCTATGTGGTCAGGTAAAAAAGATAAGAAAAAAGTAACAGAAGGATCTAAAAGTGGAGGAAGGGAGAAAATGAAAAAATCACGGTCCCCCACAAAATGATAACAGCATTGCCAAGCAGTATTCCCTGGATGGTTCTAACTACTCTAGCTAACTCTTACCCTGATATTTCCAGTTATCTTAAAAAAGCATAGATCACCATCAAAAGCTCCAGAGTCCCTACAGTAGGGGCATCTACTCATTATTTAAAAAATGAGTGTGAGCAGGGGAGGGACAGAGAGAGGAGGAGACACAGAATCCGAAGCAGGCCCCAGGCTCTGAGCTGTCAGCACAGAGCCCAACACGGGGCTCAAACCCACAAACTGCGAGATCATGACCTGAGCTGAAGTCAGACGCCCAACCAACCAAGCCACCCAGGCGCCCCTACTTAACTCATTATTAATAAAAAGGGACATAGGAAGAGTTCTGTCAAACTCATAAAGTAAACAGAAAGGGTGTTACTGATGAGGATGTTACTTCTGCTTCCAAAGGTAGTTCAAGGACTAGCAGGCCAAAAGCTTTAAAGAGATCAGCTGAGAGTTCAGGCACCTGGCAACCTAACACTGAAGGAGAAATCAACTGCCAATTTTAGTGGAATTCATCAGATTATGTAAAAGTAGCTGAGCTGCCTGGGCTGGGGGAGGCTGGGAGCAGCAAACTCACATGTCAGTGCAGCCGGCCCACGTCAGGATAACGTGTAGGTGCGAGGACTCAATGGGCCCAGAAGCTTCCTGGCATACCAGGAGTAGGGGCTAACTGGGCACACTCCAGTGTGCTTGCCTTTCCTTGACTCAGGGAGAGCCAGCTGATCATGTGGGGCTTCCTAGCAACCCCCACTCCATCTCCTCATCCCAGAGCTTATTTTGTGGTGGCCTTGCTGGGCGGACACACAGGCTGTTTCCTGTGTAAGCCTACCTTTATGCTCCAAGCACGCCACAGCTTTCACCGCCTCCCTCTCATCTCATCTGGGGTCTCCTACCTACTGTTGTAATTCGACCACAGAACATACAACGAATTTTTAGACTACCAAACATCAGAAAGCTGAGAGAGAAGAAGCCTGGGATGTAAGGCAGATACACAGAAAAGGTGGCCAGAGAGAGGACATTACGAAAAAGCAGGAAAAAAAAAAAGTGCACCCAAAACCACTGTGTTTGACAGACAGAAGACTGGGATACTCCAGAACCCGCTGGCTCACGTTTTCATGCTTTAAAGTCCTTGCCTGGGGACGCCTGGGTGGCTCAGTTGGTTAGGCATCTGACTTCAGCTCAGGCCACACAATCTCACGGTTCGGGAGTTTGAGCCCCATGTCAGGCTCTGTGCTGACAGTGTGGAGCCTGGAGCCTGCATCAGATTCTGTGTCTCCCTCTCTCTCTGATCCTCCCCCACTCATGTTCTCTCTCTCTCAAAAATAAAGATTAAAAAAAAAAAAAAAAGTCCTTGCCCAGAAAACTGTTCTAAGAAAAAGATATTTGTTCATTTTCCACCTGAAGCTAAAATACAATTTATGGTATATATATCTAACACTCCAAGATTAAAAGGAATAGAAATGTGGCTTCCTAAAGACTGAATGCAAATTGACAAAATAAGTATCTTCTCCAAAGACTATTAAAATCACTACTGTAGGGGTGCCTGGGTGACTCAGCTGGTTAAGCCTCCAACTCTGGCTCAGATCTCGTAGTTCATGAGTTCAAGCATCGTATCAGGCTCACTGTTGTCAACGTGGAGCCTGCTTCGTGTCCTCTCTCTGCCCCTCCCCTACTCACACTCTCTCAAAAAGAAACATTTTTTAAAATATACACATCCCTTAAAAGAAAAAAAGTTGCTACTGTAAAACTTGCCCCAACCCAGCATCTTCCACCCAGGTGTATGAACTGCCATTCACCTACAAAAAGAGAATCTTTTAATTTTTTTTTAATGTTTTATTTTTTTTAGGAGAAAGAGAGAGAGAGAGTGTGAGCAGAGGAGGGTCAGAGAGAGAGGGAGTCACAGACTGAAACAGGCTCCAGGCTCTGAGCTGGCAGTCAGCACAGAGCCCGACGCGGGGCTCAAACCCACGAACCGCGAGATTATGACGTAGGCGAAAGTCGGACGCTTAACCGACTAAGCCACCCAGGCGCCCCAGCACAAAAAGAGAATCTTAAAGACAGGCGCCTCGTGGCTCAGTGGGTTAAGCATTGGACTTCAGCTCAGGTCACGATCTTGTGGTTCATGAGTTCGAGCCTTACATCAGGCTCTGTGCTGACTGCTCGGAGCCTGGAGCCTGCTGCGGATTTCTGTGTCTCCTCTCTCTGCCCCTCACCTGCTCATACTCTGTGTCTCTCTCCCTCTTTCTCAAAAAAAAAAAAAAGAAGAAGAAAAAAGGGACAGATGGAAATGAAAACAGATTTGTAAAGCAAACTCTCAATGATTCAAAATAAACAAATCACCACAAAGCAAAACCCGAAGAGTAAAAATTTCCTTACAATGACTTCCAACTTTGGTAACAGCAAACACATAATGCCTACCTAGGCTTTAAGTTTGTTTATTTATTTTAAGAGAGAGTGTGTGAGAGCAAGCAGGGGAGGGACAGAGGAGGGAGAGAGAGAGTCCCAAGCAGACTCCGTGCTGTCAACACAGAGCCCAAGGCGGGGCTCAATCATCAAGAGTCGGATGCTTAACTGACTGAGCCACCTAGGCACCCCCAAAGCAGCTAATTTCTTTAAAAAGTCAAATTTTTTGCTTTTGTGTTATTTGCACTTTAGGAACAGCAGAGGTTAGGAGAGCTAAAGTTGAGCCTTTGGAAATCTGTTTTACCATCAAGTAACAGCTGCCCTTTGACATCCTTCAATGATATAAACATCTCAATCGCCCTGGCTAACAGACCAATCTAAATCTACCAAAATAAATCGCAGACTTACAGAGAAAGGTCAGAAAAAGGGTGAAGGAATCTGTAAGACTTTTCCCAAAGTCAGCATTTCATCTCACTAGTTAATTCACTACTGAGTCTATAAAGACATTCATTTTGTGCTTCTACTTTAAGGGCAGAAATAAATAAGGTCAATATATGAGGTCATTAGACATCTCGACCCTCTCACAGACGTGCTACTAGGTCTAAAACAGGAAAGAGCTGGGAAAGAGCAGCCACGGGAAAAAAAAAAGTAATATAGGGCATCTTACCATCCAGTACTTAATGGAGTGCCTTTAGGAAACAGCTCTGCCCAGGGACAGGACTGAGTACGCACAAACACAGAATGGAGTAGTGGGGCTGACCTAAGACCAGAGCCTATTAAAAGCCGCACCACCCATCTTAAGCCTGCAAATTCTTCTCAATTACACAGCTTGACAGCAGCTTCGTCCTCATTTACTACGCCCTCCAACCTTCCACACCTGAAACTCTTTGCTAAGAACTAGATCATCTTTCATTTACCCTCTCTCAGTCCCCCAAAACCCCACTAATAAACCCAATCAAATAAAGATTCTTTAACTGGAAAATGACTGCAATAGGTGTTTATTTTTCCAGAGGAAGTAGTAAACAATCTAGTGACATAAAGAACCCTGCATGAAAAAGGTGTATTTTGCACTCCTCTCTACCACTTGATAACTGTGGTACTCAAGGAACATAATTTAAATGTCCTAACCTTCCCTTACTTGTGAAATAAAGCCACCTTACTGGCTTTACGGCAGAAGCCCAACTCATATAATCACTTAAGATCTCCTTCATACAATTTTTTTACTTACTTGATTTTATTAGCTTTTAAGTTGATTTATTTGAGAGAGAGAATGTGAGCAGGGGAAGGGCAGAGAGGGGCAGAGAGGGGCAGAGAGAGACAGAGAGAGAGAGGGAGAGAGAGGATCCCAAGCAGGCTCCACACTGTCAGTTAGGAGCCCGGCTCTGGACTCGAACCCACAAACAGTGAGATCATGACCTGAGCCGAAACCAAGAGCCAGATCCTTAATCAACAGAGCCACCCAGGCTTCCCCATAAAATTCTTTGATAATTCAACTCAACAAGCACTTGTTTCTCCCAACTGTTTCACACTGGGGAGAGAAAATGACGAAGCAAGTCAGAAAGTCAAAAGCCTGACAACCAATGACAAGGGAAGACTAAGGAACTATTGCTTTGAGTATGATGGTAAGACATTCTTCATTAACAGCCATTCTAAATCTCTGATGTACATTCAAAATCTATCAATACAGCTCCTCTACACCCAGTTCATTTTCACTTGTATGTTTCTGATTAGGCTGTAACCTTCCTCTAAACTGTAACACTTTTCCGTTAACTTCCTTGCTTCTCCAAGATCTCAAACCTGAATTCGTCTTTCCATTAGCCTTGTCCTACGCCAATCCCTCCCTCGGCTTTCTATTTATCATGCACTACATTCCTGCCTCCCAACTACTTTATATCTTCATTTTCCGTTTGGGTGCCTTAAGTCTTGGGGAGAGCATTCAGGCTATGTATAAACAAACTTCAGGGGTGCCTGGGTGCTCAGTCGGTTAAGTGTCAGGCTTCGGCTCAGGTCATGATCTCATGGTTCGTGGGTTCGAGCCCTACATCGGGCTCTGTGCTGACACCTAGCTCAGAACCTGGAACCTGTTTCAGATTCTGCGACTCCCTCTTTCTCTGACCCTCCCCTGCTCATGCTGTCTCTCTCAGAAATATTAAAAAAATTTTTTTTAAATAAAAAATAAAAACAAACTTCATACAGTTAGGTTTTGGGAGAAACTCCATCTTTACAATAAAAAAAACTAAAGGGCTGAAAAGGGAGAAAATAACCATGGTACCTCCCAAGAGAGCTGGTCGAGGCATGATTCTGGTTACCTGTTTAGAGTCCTGTATGCCCCTTCCACGTTTCCTTCCTGTACCATCACAGTCCTGGCAATGAACTTCAGATGTCTTGCCATGACCTTGGGATTTAAATCTTCAATCTAAAGGGTAATGTTGAAAGGGAGAGGAAAGCACAGAAACCAGGTTAAAAAAAAAAAAAAGAAAGAAAGAAAAGAAACACAGCAGCATGCCCACTGTCCCGCGTGGCTTACTCAGGCTCTGGAAAAACAACATCCTTCTCCAGGGACAAGGACACTGGGCACGTGGAGGTCTTCCTATCTAGAGAGCATACGTGAATCATTATAAAGACTGCCCGGTCCTCTCTGCCAATATACCCTAGCCTACGTAAGAAGTGGCGGCAGGGGGTCACCACAAAGGCGTCGCGGCGGGGCACGGGAGGACCGGGAGCCGCGGCGCACCTCCACGAATCGTTCTCCGCCCCAGGAGCGTCTGGGGTGAGAGCTGGCAACGCAGGCTTCCTCGGCCTTTAGAAAGAGCTACAACCCCGCGCAGGTGCCCCCCGCGCAGGTGCCCCCCGCGCCATCCCCGCCCCGCTCTCCACAGGCCGGACCACGGCTCCTCACCCCACGACCTCCGGAACCTGCCGCGGGGCGCCTCTGTGGCGGCCGGAAGCGGAAATACGTCATCTCCCGCGCCGCGCAAAGAAGTCCCAGCTGGAAAGAGGGGCGGGGAAAGCAGAACCGAACACCTGTGTGGAAACCATGGCAACATTGTTTCCGGCGGAGTGGACCGCTTCCCCTCACGCCTCCGCCCCGGATTCTACACCTGACAGAGCACTGTGCTCGTGGCCTTGAAGTCCCCGCAAACCTGGTTCCTCGGCGGCTCCGCCCTCCGTGTTTGAGGTGAGCGCCATTCCGTGCCCCTAAATCCTATCCAGCCTGTCCTAGATATGTAAGCCATTTCTTTTTCTGGAAGAAAAATGAGAGAAGTAGGCAAAACTTCCTGAGCACGCTTCCTGTTTTCTCAAAGGACACAGATTCTGGACACAGATTCTTTGAGATCTGCGCTCCGGAAGAAAAAAACCAGCTTCAAACCCCTCATCCGTTTAAAAACTAAGGAGAAGAAATGAACAAACCATGTGTTTCCTATGATGCGTTTCTGCCCAGGCGTTTCACTAAATAAACTTACGAAATGAAGAATCGGGAAACACCTGCAGGTTTTAGAATCGAAGACTTTTTTTTTTTTTTTTTTTAAGATTTTATTCTTAAGCCATCTCCACATTTAGCGTGGGGTTGGAACCCACAACCCCGGGATAGAGTCGCATGTTCCATGGACTGAGCCTGCCAAGTGCCCTGAATTGGGGGCGCCTGGGTGGCGCAGTCGGTTAAGCGTCCGATTTCGGCTCAGGTCATGATCTCACGGTTCGTGGGGGTTCGAGCCCCCCGTCGGGCTCTGTGCTGACAGGTAGCCTGGAGCCCGTTTCAGATTCCGTGTCTCCTTTTCTCTCTGACCCTTCCTGCTCACGCTGTATCGCTCTCGCTCGCTCTCTCTCAGAAATTAAAAAAAAAAAAAAATTGAAAAAAAGAAAGTCATTAAATAAAAATGCCCTGAATTGAAGACCCTTTTATGTTGACTTCTGTCCCTTTGCCTCCAAGTGAGACCTAGTAGAAACATCTCCTTTATTTCTTCTTCCCTGTGGAAACAGCTTTTATTTTATTTGTATGTTACTCCTACATATCCATGTGCGGTTATTCGTATAAATTCAGATCTAGGGGCTACTGGAAAACAGTCGGGAAAGGCTCAAAAAAAGAAAGGTACGTAAGCGGCTACTTGTGTAATAAGGTTTCTTGCGTACTTCCCCTACAACACATAGGCGTGCGCCTGTACACACACAGTTGCACCTTCATCAGTTACACTAATAGAACTCCCAAAAGACAAAAGCCTCGTTCAAACGAAGCGAGGTTCAAACCAAAATAGAGCTAGACTGGGACATCATTATGCTTATTAATAAACATTTAGTCTACATCTACTCTGTTAGGTGTTTTTGATACCATTCCAGTACCTCTTGGACAACCGGAACATAGTATGGTAGACATGAAAGTTAAATAGTAAAACAAACTAACCACTTATTTAGCTCAGGAAAAAATAAATAAATAGTAAAACAAACTAGCATATTATAAGTGCAAAATAAATTCTATAGGCAACAGGATTTGAAGTGAGGAGATCTGATTTCTTTCCAAATTCTGGTACTCACATGTCCTGCCGCTTAAACCATTAGTTTCCAATGTATTGTCTATAAGTCAATCCGGTTCCACTCATTTTTGTAAATACAACTTTATTGGAACACCGTTGTGCTCATTAGTTTACATATTAGATATGGCTGCTTTGGGTTACAATGGCAGATTTGGGTAGTTGGAACAGAGCCTAAAGCATTTACTAGCAGATTGGCTCTTGCTGACTCCTAGCTTTTCTTTTTTAAGCTTACTTATTTTGAGAGAGACAGAGGCAGTGTGAGCGGAAGAAGGGCAGAGAAAGAGAGAGAATCCCAAGCAGGCTCCAAGCTGTCAGTGCAGTGTCAGTGCTCTAACCCACAAAACCATCAGACCATGACAAAAACCCAGAGTCAGACGCTTAAGTGGCTGAGCCACCCAGGTACCCCGACTCTTAAATGCTCAGTCTCTTTTGTCAACTATGCTAATATCTGCCCTCAATCACACAAAATTTGTCATGGGACTCAAATGAGATAAAATATAAAATTCTTTCTAAAATAAAGAGGGAAATAACATTTTTGAGAATCTGCTATATACCAAACCTCGTATGGGCACTTTAAGTGCATGATCTCATTTGAGGGAGTAAAGGGCCAAAGACAGCCATGTTTATTGGAGAGAATTGTTGGGAGAAGGTCTTGAGTGGGTCATTTAAAGAATGTAGGGTTGGGGCACCTGGGTGGCTCAGTTATAATCACATGTCCACCCTTCAAATTTAGATGTGAATTTATATTTATTAAACAAACCTTGGGGTGCCTGGGTGGCTCAGTCGGTTAAGTGTCCACCTTCGGCTCAGGGCATGATCTCACGGTTTGTGGTTTTGAGCCCCATGTCGGTCTCTGTTCTGATAGCTAGCTCAGAGCCTGGAGCCTGTCTTTGGATTCTGTGTCTCCTTGTCTTTCTGTCCCTCTCCTGCTCACGCTGTCTCTCTCTCTCTCTCTCTCTCTCTCTCTCTGTCTCTCAAAAATAAATAAAACATTAAAAAAAAATGGTAGGGTTTAGAAGCAAGAAAGGCCGGGCAAGGTGAACAGCATGAATTAGAGTTTAGAGCTAAAAAAGTCTTACAGTGTTCAAGGGCAAATAGAAAAGTAAACAAAGGGATCAATTAGGGGAGCAGAAGGAGAAACAAAAGACTTTGACTAAAGGCTTTGAACTTTCTTCTCCAAGCACTGAGGAACCATTGAAGGATTTGAATAGGAAATAACATTCAAGACATTCTTCTATAAAAAGGAATCTGGGTAAGGAAGAAGGGGTTAGAGGTAAGAGAGACTATTGCTATAGTTAAAGCTTAGGCCAAAGATGTCGCAATGAAATGGATAGGAAAAAATAGATTTTAAGAGACATTCCAAGGAGCGCCTGGGTGGCTTAGTCGGTTAAGTGTCTGACTCTTGATTTCAGCTCAGGTCATGATGTCATGGTTCCTAATTTCAGGCCCAGCATCAGGCTCTGTGCTGACAGCATGGAGCCTGCTTGGGATTCTCCCTCCCCAGCCCCTCTCTCCCTTGGGTGCATGCATGTGCGCGCTCTCTCTCTCTGTTAAAATAAATAAACCTTTTTTAAAGAGAGAGGCATTCCAAATACAGAATAAAAAGCATTTGGTGATGGGGCACCTAGGTGGCTCATTTGACTAAGTTTCTGATTCTTGATTTCGGCTCAGGTCATGATCTCAGGGTTGGTGAGTTCAGTGCAGTTGGATTCTCTCCCCCTTTCTCTGCCCCTCCCCCACTCACACTTGCACTCTCTCTCTTTCAAAATAAATATTAAAGCTTTTTATATGTTTTGTTTATTTCTGAGAGAGAGAGAGAGAGAGAGCGTGAGCAGGGGAGGGTCAGAGAGAGAGGGAGACACAGAATCTGAAACAGGCTCCAGGCTCTGAGTTAGCTGTCAGCACAGAGCCCGACGCGGGGCTCAAACCCACGAACCGTGAGATCATGACCTGAGCCGAAGTCAGCCGTTTAACCGACTAAGCCACCTAGGTGTCCCAAAATAAATAAATATTTAAATTTTTTAAAATATTTTTATTTATTTCTAGGCGAGAGAGAGAGACAGCACGAGCAGGGGAGGGTCAGAGAGAGAGGGAGACACAGACTCTGAAACAGGCTTCAGGCTCTGAGCTGGCAGTCAGCACAGAGCCCGACGCAGGGCCCGAACCCACGAACCCACGAACCACAAGATTATGACCTAAGCAAAAGTCGGACGCTTAAATGACTAAACTACCCAGGCGCCCCAATAAATAAATACTTTAAAGAAGGATATGTTGACAGAGTGGCACCAAGTTTTAAGTTTAGTTATCTAGAAAAACAATGGTAGCATAGATACTGCTAATAGAAGAAGAGTATAAAAAGGCAGAACAGGACATCTTTAAAGGGAAGACAGTATTTTGATTGGTGACCACTGGAAAAAGCACCAGACTGGAAACTCAGAATCCTGTACCACACATTGTGCGGTCCTGTACAAGCCACCTAAGTTTCCTTGTATAAAAAGTGAGGGGTTGAGTGATACCTGTTGGTTCTAAAATGCTGAAATTATCAATAATATTGAGGTGTTAATAACATGTAAACAGAACTGTTCAGCAGAAATGTAGACGTTCAGTATGTCCTCTGTGGGAAATATTGGGACTAGAGACGGGGCTTCAGGAGTCTTCAAAGTTGAGGCAATAATTAAAGCCATGGAAGATGAAACCTTTACATGAAAGTATGTAGTCAGAGAAAAGAATCAAGGACTTAACCTGAGTGAACACCCACATTCTAGAGCTGGCAGAAGAGATATGGGAGTAGCTGCCAGGTAGGTAAGAGGAGCATTAGGATGGTGTCCCGCCATGGAACCCAGGGGCGAGGAGTTTCAGGAGGCAGCCTCAGGAGTGCCTGATGCTGTTAGTGCGGGCGGCGCACAGCCACTGAAGGACCCTGGATCTAGCTATGGATTTGATGGAAACTACCTTAGAATTCCTGGTTCTGTGAGATCCTTGATGACTCTGGAAGGGGCACTAGAGTAGTAGTAGCTAAGCTGAGGAGGCTAAGGAGAGATTAATTTTTTTTAATGTTTGTTTATTTTTGAGAGAGAAAGAGTGTGAGTGGGGGAGAGACAGAGATAGAGAGGGAGACACAGAATCTGAAGCAGGCTCCAGGCTCTGAGCTGTCAGCACAGAGCCCAATGCGGGGCTCGATCCCACCAACCATGAGATCATGACCCGAGCTGAAGTTGGATGCTTTACTGACTGAGCCACCCAGGAGCCCCAGGAGTCAGAAAGATTGGACTGTCAAAAATATGAAGAAAATGGGGCACCTGGGAGGCTCAGTCAGTTGGGTGTCTGACTCTTGGTTTGGGCCCAGGTCACGATCTCCTGGTCATAAGATCGAGCCCCACATTGGGCTCTGTGCTGGGTGTGGAGCCTGTTTGGGATTCTCTCTCCCTCTTTGTCTGCCCCTCCTGCCCCTCTCTCAAAAATAAATAAACTTTTAAGATATTGAAGAAAATATGAGAGGGGCACCTGGGTGGCTTAGTCGGTTAAGCGTCTGACTTTCGCTTGGGTCATGATCTCACGGTTCGTGGGTTCGAGCCCCGCGTCGGGCTCTGTGCTGACTGCCAGCTCAGAGCCTGGAGCCTGTTTCAGTCTGTGACTCCCTCTCTTCCCGACCCTCCCCTGCTCACGCTGTCTCTCTCTCTCTCCTAGAAATAAATAAAAATATTAAAAAAAAAAAAAGAAAATATGAGAAAGAGGACAATCAGACTCGAGACATTTTCCAGAAGGGGGAGGACTGACCCCACAGTGGGAGGAGTAAATATTACTTGTAGGAGAAATAAGTAATTCCAGAACAAAGTGGAGTTACAAGATAAAGAGGGGGACAAATGACACCTCAAAAGTCCCAGAAGGTAATAAAGAGCACAAACGGAGTGGTTTGTCTTAGAAGGGAGGGCACACTTTCTGAACTCAAGTCAAGAGACAGTTCTTCCCTGATAGCAGACGACTTGAGAAATGGGGGAAAGGTGGATAACCAGCTGTGAGAAACATGCTAAGGAGCCAGTATGAATAATGAAGACGACCGAGGTGTCTGAGGCACTTCCAAGGCTTAGGAGGGGAGAAGACACGGTTTTGGTGGTCACTGGGACAAAGGAGTGAGAGTGGCACAGAGAAAGGGTAGATGTAGACACACTTACTGCCTTCATTCTGGCCTCCCGATAATCCTGGGCAGCTTTTCTGAGTCTCGCATACGTTTAGCGGCTGCAGCCTTTGGAACAAGGATGGGGCCTGTGTCTGAGTGGACTCACCATTCTGATGGTTCTAGGGCACCCCTTCCTCTTCAAAACTAGCAACCACAGTGGCTGTTCTGGCTTGTGTGTCCCTCCTCAGGCAGTAGTAGATTATGTGTGCATTTATCCCCAAGCATCAATAGTTCCCGTCAAAGCAAAGAGCTATCCCAGAGCAGAAGAACCTGCTGGTCCAGGCCAGCTGGAAGATTTCAAAAGTGAGAGACACGAACAAAACAAACTAGTCTCTGAGATTAAATGAAAACACAAGCCCGATTCTGAACTGTGTAACTGTCCCAAGGCTGGTCCCTAGGAAGCCAGCAGCAGGGTCCCTTTTGTTCCCCACCGGACCTCCCTCACCCCATTCAGACTTCTAACGAGCTTTTCGCTTTTCGCAAACATTTCCATCCCTGGTCTTTCCTGCTGCTGAGAGAATAAATACTGGTATTTGAGGCAGAAGGTTTAAATTTCCTCCAATCAACAAACTGTTTTAAGTATAAAATGTCTTTAATCAAAAAGGTTTTCTCTTCCCTCAACACAAATGCACACATTAGAAGTAAAAATATATATGAGAGAGACCTATATTTACACAAATTAGAAACCACAGTCTCAAGTCCTGGATTAGGGACTGAGAGAATGGCCATCGGGAGCACCTGAAGGATGGCTTCTCATCTGTGCGAGAGGCCCCACGGTCATGGCTCTGGCCACGGCGGGGAGACCAGGATGGGATGGGGTACGGCTCTGGTCTGACAGCAGAGTTACTGGCAAACTGTGGCAATGAGGTCCCTCTCCAGGGAGTTTCTTGGGATCACCAGGGACGACAGGAGACGCTGTAGTAGGCAGAACTGGAGTGGCTGGCGTGACGACAAGGTGTCCAACGAGTAGGACCCCGATGCTGGCTCCGGTGCCTAAAGGCCTGTGGCTAAGGGAAAGGCTACCTGGGGAGCCAAGGGGCGGGTTGCAAATCGGAGTGGTGTGGGTCCAAGTGAGGTGCATGGCTGGCCACGCCGGGAGGTGCCAAGGCTGCTTTGATTTCAACACTAGATGGCCCAACTGGGTCTTGTCCATCTTTCCCGTGGGAGGTGCCGGAGAGGAAGGAGCGGGATAATTGTGGTGGCTTGGAAAATGCTAGGGCAGGGGGTGGGGGGAGGACACGAGAAAAAGAAATATGTGAGAGAGCTTTCAGATTAACTCCACTTGGTTGCCTACAACTTTTCTTTCCTTGGGGCCTTGAGCTGCAAGGCAAACATACCTTGTTTTAGGCAACAGATCGTTTCCTGACAGGCCACGATTAAGTAAAAGTTTTAGTAACCTAATTATACTCGCAACTTACTTGACAAATACTCAAAAGTCTGTTAGGTACCACATGCTGTATCAAACACAGGACATCCAGGCGGGCAAAACAAAACAGTTCCCCTAAGGTCTCACTATTTGTAAAATAATTCACTTTAGAACTTATTTTTCAAGTCTATTTTTAATTGGAATCATCATTTCCCAATTTGTATATTTAAAACTTTAATTTCCCTTGGTTGAATTGCTTAAGAAATGTAAATTGATATGCAGGCAATGGGGCACCTAGGTGGCTCAGTTGGCTAAGTATCTGACTCTTTTAAAAAAAAAATTTTTTTTTAAGTTTATTCTATTTTTGAGAGAGAGAGAAACAGAGTGTGAGTTGGGAAAGAGAGGGAAAGAGGGGGATCCAGGATCTGAAGGAGGCTCCCAGCTCGGAGCTGTCAGCAGAGAGCCTGACGTTGCACTTGAAAGGAACTCAACATGCGGCACTCACAAACACAAACTGTGAGACCATGACCTGAGCTGAAGTCAGAAGCTTCAACGACTGAGCCACCCAGGCACCCCAAATGTCTGACTCTCAATCTTGGCTCAGGTCATGATCTCATAGTTCGTGAGTTCGAGCCTTGCGTCTGCCTCTGCACTGATAGTGTGGAGGCCTCTTGGAGTTCTCTCTTCCTCTCTCTCTGGTCCTATCCCACTCATGTTCTCACTCTCTCTAAATAAATGAATAAACTTTAATAAATTGTTTAAAAATATGCAGGTAAGAATTCAGCTTATCTTTTTAATTTTTTTAATCTTTTCTTTTTTTTAATGTTTTTATTTATTTCTAAGAGAGAGAGAGAGAGACAGCATGAGCAGGGGAGGGTCAGAGAGAGAGGGAGTCACAGACCGAAACAGGCTCCAGGCTCTGAGCCGGCAGTCAGCACAGAGCCCGACGCGGGGCCCAAACCCACGAACCGCAAGATCATGGCCTAAGTGAAAGTCGGACGCTTAACCGACTAAACCACCCAGGCGTCCCTTTTTTTTTTTTAATCTTGAGAGAGGAGAGAGAGAGTGCGCGCGCATACGCAAGCAGGGGAGGAACAGAGAGAGGAAAAGAGAGAATCCCAAGGAGGCTCCACGCTGTCAGCACAGAGCCTGACTTGGGGCTCCATCTCACAAACGGTGAGATCATGACCTAAGCTGGAGGCTTAGCTTACTGAGCTACTCAGGGCCCCCTCTGCTTATTTTTAAGTGAGCTATTCCCACAACAATAGTAATTGTGGTTGATTAAAAACAAGGACTGTCCACTATGTATAGGAGACTTTCCCCTTCCCATCATTTGAGTACCCCATAAACACACTGTTGTTTGAAAGCACAAAAAATAGGTCACTTCCAGGCACGCCCAGGGAGCTCTGCTGGTTAAGTGGCTAACTTGATTTCAGCTCAGGTCTCATGGCTCTGTCTCAGTCTCATGGCTCTGTGAGATTGAGCCCTGCGTAGGGCTCTGCGCTGACAGTGTGAAGCCTGCCCCTCCCCAAAGCGTGCACCCGCGCTTTCTCTCTCTTTCTCCCAAAAATAAATTAATTAAAACTTAAAAAAAAATAGGTCACTTCTACACTAAGTCTAAGAATCTATCCAACACTGCCTCGATGGAAGTCCCACGGCCGCCCTTCTCCCACATGTGTGCACACGTGCTCTTTCTCAAAAATAGATGAACATTTTTTAAAAAGTATTTTAAAAAGTCTTCTGTATCCATGCAGAAAGCAGAGAAGCTGCAACATAAGGAATAAGATTAAACTTCATGGAGTTCTCTCTTTTTTTTTTTTTAAAGTAGGCTCCACGTCCAGCATGGAGCCCCATACAGGGCTCAAGCTCATGACCCTGAGATCATGATCTGAGGTGAGACCAACAGTCAGACGCTTAACTGACCAAGCTACCTAGGTGCCTATTCATGGAATTCTTTGTAGTGACACAAACAAAATAGAACAAAAACCGTATAAGGATCAAATAACGAAGGAAGGTGAGGCATTCCCTCCCGTGAAAAGAAACTTAATGGCAAAGAGAAATGACTTAGAAAACTGAAGGAACCCATTTCTGCAGGTTCATTTCATTTTCTCATCGCCCCACCTCTCCCTCAGGCTGACAAGTTCTTACCCTGGTCCGCGCATGTCGGCCACTACCTCTGAGTGATGACCTCTGAGCCGTTATGTGAGGAAACCAAGTCCTCAACATCCCTTCCACCTGGAGCAAGGTTCCTAGGTAACGCTCCCTGTGAGAAAGACGTGTACTTAAGAAGCCATCAGGTGTGAACAAGGCAACAAGACAGGACTGTAGAGAGCTCCTTTTTCATGAAATACTGAGGAAAACACCAGGGGGGACTCACCCCATCTGTGGCTTCTGCAAAACGCCCACAATACGCTGGATCCTGTCCATTGCCACACTCTGCTGGAAACTGCTCAGTCCTAGGGCCACGGAGAAAGACAGACACAAAGGGCTCAGGTGCAAGAACTTAAGTCAGGTGACAGAAGGCCAGAACACGGTTAAAAGAGATTCACCTAATGAAATTAAATCACGGAAGCACAAAAGGAATAACTTACAAAGAACTAAAGCTTTAAACACAAAGATTCAATAGAAATACACATTTAAAACATTGAGAGTCAGAGAGAAAAAAGAACCAGCTCAAATAATTCCAACTCCTCAAATAATTACCTCTCTCAAATCGACCCATCTTCAGCCCATTCAGGAGGTCTGTGAGAGGGCGGATGAAACCTTGGAGCTCTTCACACTGCAGGCAAACAGGACAGAGGCTGTGGGAGGGCTGGGACCTGCCCATACCAGTGCTGTCCCCTCCCCCCCAAATCCAGATCTGGGAACCTGTACTGTCTTCACAGGGTGCTTACAACCATCTGGGTGCTAAGCCATTCCAGCATTGTGTCCTTTCCCCTCCTCTTTCCTACCTTCTGCGCAAAAAGCAGGTCTCCTTCTGTGACACAACCCTGGATGTTTACAGTCGTCTGTAATTCGCCATCTCTTGATCTTTTGACCCCAGATCCTGCCATAGGAGAGGCCGAGCCCCGCTGTTCCTGGCGAGATGTTGTACGTTGGTTGCCAGAAACCTTGGGCCGGTGCCTGCAGCGGATAGGACCAGGTCGGGGCCGAGAGCCTCCCCTCTGCCCAACAGTGTCTGGCCTGGGGCCACGGGCCCCCTTGTCCTCCTCCTCACTATCGGAGGGGAGACCAAAGTCACTGTTCACTGGGGAGGTGGAAAAAGAGGAAGATAGAGAATAGGAAGAACAGGAAGAAACGCTAGACGGAGAATCCATACGTTCCGAAGCAGGGGCTGGAGAGCAGCTCCCGGAGTACCCAGAGATCGGGACCTGCAACCGAAGGGCAAAGCGAGGGAGCATGTCACCATAACCTGAAAATTAGGGAGTGGCCTGGGAGACTGGGATGTACTGCATGAGACGATAACACTTCTCTCCTCCCCTGTGTTACCTGTCTCAGAGCCGACAGAAAGGGTCAGCTCCTCCGCCTGCCCCCCAGTGAAATACCTGGACTGCCCCCAGGACCTCCGCAGAGCACCTCTTAGTCTGACACAGACTGTTCTTCCCTCCTTCCGTTAAGAGTAAATTACCTGACTTGACACCTTCCCCCTCCCCACCGCGAACAGGTGTTCGCCAGGTCCGCTCCCAGCCTAAGCCCACAGCAAGGGCTACCGGCAAGCCGCCGTGTAACCACCTCCCGCCTCTTTCCAATCTTTCCCATCGGGATCCCTGCACCAGAACCCTCTACGATCGCGCCGGCCACGTGATGTCATCCCTCCCGACACCAAATTCTGCTTTCGCTCCCTAAACCTACTCCCCCGGGGTGTGACCCTCCCGCGCGGACAGCTTCCGTCCTCCAAACCTCCTCACCTGCGTCGGGTCGGCTCTGCCCAGGCTGCCTCTGGCTTCCCCAACTCTGTCACGCCCGGCTACCCACCTCCGCCTCTCTCCCACTGGGTCCCGCCCCTTCCCCCTCCCGGACACGTGCGGCTGGGCACGTGCCTTACCCCTGCGTACACAGACCTCACCCCCTCATTGGCTGTCTAGCCGGCAGCACGTGACTCTCGTTCCTGACTTTCACATCCCATTCGCTAGAGCCTACAAGGGGCTCGGCCAATAGAGACCCAGTTAGGTGCCGATTGGCTACGAGAGAAGGGTTCCGTGCTCCGCCCCTACATGCGGCTCGACCCGGACCCGGTGAGGAGGAGAGGAGGAGGGTGGAAGAAGAGTGGAAAAGGGCGGAGCCCGTGGTCTTAAATAGGATGGTGGTGGGCAGGAGGCGTGTGGTTGGAGTGCACACACTGGTCGTGTGACGCGGGGCGCGCGTCTTGGGACGTGGGACTCCGGGCGCCTCCTCGGTAGCCGACAACCCCCACCCCACCCCCCACCCCGGCCCTTATCTCCTCTCCCGTTCGAGCGCCTCCGCTCACGAGGGCAGCACGTGGAAGCCAGCAGCGACTTGGGTGTGCAACGTGTGTGAGAAGACGGCTGTCCCTACTGTGTATCCTCGCCCCCTCTCGGCCGCGCGGCCCTCGTGACTCTCCGGTCTCTGGTTCCCCCTCCCCGCCTCCTTCGACTACAAGTTGGGTGCCTCCTGCCCTGGGGGTTGAGGAGGGTGGGGACTGCCGCCGAGAACACCGCGTCCTCTCCCACACTCCCACTGGGGCGGCTCCTCCGGCCCTTTCCTTACGTAACCCGCCACGCACGTTACCGGCTCAGATGCCGGTCAGCCACGACTGTAGAGGTCAAAGCCGAGCTCGGCTGTCTATAGGCTCCTCCGGCCCTGCGCCCTGAATTGTGTTTCCTAACGTAGAGAGCGGAGTGTGGGTAGGTCCCTGGTTTCCGAGAGGATACCTTCATCGCCTTTATTTGTTCCCTGGAGGAGAGTCGAAAGGCTTGGAAGGAGGGAGGGTGGGAAGTCTGGAATTCACGGAGTCCGGAACGGGCTGTTCGCTGCCCCCCGTAGCCCTGAAAGTACAGTGCGGAGAAGGGGACAGGGGCTCTGGGACTGTTTGCTGATTGAAGCGGAGACACCCGGAGAGACCGCAAGGGGGCAGCCCAGTTCTGATTAGGGGCTCGAGGATCGAGAAAGAATTAAAATATGTCCCTGCCTGCCCTAATTACGCACTGGAAAAGGCACACTGTGGGGGGTGGGGGGTGTAAGTGGAGGAGGGTGTGAATTTTAAAAATCTATTCTAAGTAGTTTTTAATATTTTACATATGTTTAACAATGTGCTTATTTTACAAAAAGGAGAAAGTATTCTACATAAACCTCAACTCTCTTTTCCCAAACACAGTCTCAAAACCGTGTGTAATAAAAGAATTAGACGGAATTGTCTGTTGCTGCTCTTCTCCACTCTTCACAAAATGTCAGGTTTAGTCACCGTCCTAATTATTCCCTCTAATTCTACTGCCACCTAACCAACCCTTTCTAATCTACCCTTCCTACCCCCCTATCCTGGTGCTCTCTTCAGTGTTGAGTTTAGAACAGAGCCTCTCAGGGAGTAGAGAGTAACCAGATTATTTCATTTATTTATCTTCCAATTTCCTCTTCCCAAATCCCCATCCAAAGATTTGTAGCAGCCTTCTTTTTCCTAAAAAAAAAAAAAAAAAAAAAAAAAAGGCAAAGAAAGGGAAAAACACCAGGCTCAGGGGGCTCAGGAAGCCCCTCCGGACCCCCCACCTCTATGAAAACTCCCCATATTTCAGATTCTGAGCTAGATTTCTCCCATGACATCTTCTGGAAGATGTTTCCCCCTCCCCTCCTCACCCCTTACTCTGCTAAATCTCTTCACACACATCCTCCCCCGCTCCCCCCCATAGTTATTTGGAATCCCAATGTTAAATTCCTTTCCTACAGTACAGGCCTCTCTTCCCTCCTCCTTGTCTCCACCATCTGCCCCCTAGGGAACCAACCGCCACCCCTACAGCCTCTGAACTTTGCCTCTGGACTCTGCCAGGTTATAAGGCCCCTCCCATTATGCCCTCTGGCAGCTGCCATAGCTTAAACCACCTCCAGGCTGGAACCACCTTTGATTCCTCAAGACAGACTGGAAATCTGGAGAGGCTTTTTTCCTTTATTTCGTCTGCTTCTGCTGTAGAAGGTCCTTGAAGTCCTCCCACTTCAGAAAAAGTAATGACTCCTGTCTGAAAAGTCTCTGCCTCACCATCTCCTAAACCTCTTTAAAATTAGGTAAGATTTTTCTAAAGGAGAACCCTCTTCCTTTTAAGCAGCTGAGAACTGACCAGGCCGGAAACACTGGCCAGAGATACCGGTAAGAAATTAGTTCGCTGACTCCCCCAAGGCCAACGGCTGCACTCTCACCTTCTACATGAAATACATCCCCCCCTGAACGAGGGCCCAGGACAGGAGGAGGGGAGCAGGACTCTGCAGACTGGATGCCGCATCATTCAGGTCTGGACTCTGCTAAAATACAGACATTTCCCCCGCAAGGTGGACCAGTGTCATCCTTCCTCCCCTCCCCCTCCCCTCCCCCCCCCCAAAGGACAGCCGTCTCTTTCCACCAACCTCTGCCTTCCTTTCCTCTGAGCTTACGGAAAGATCCATCTCCCCTCCCCATAACTCTAAGGAGTCCTTTGCTCTGTGCCTTTCAGCCTCCTGACCATTCCAGGGAGGTTCAACTCAATACTGGAATGCGTGTCTTTTAGGTTATGCGCATGACATTTCCATCCCTACGGACTCCCACTGACTCATGTGGTCAATTATACTCAGGCCACACTTTGGTCCTGTTGCCCTTTCTAGCTGTTGCTTCTCTTTTTTCATTACCAGATTCCTCAAACGATTGGTCTCTACCCTCCCTCTCCTTCTGCACAATGTACCCCCTCTCTAAATCCACAAAAACCTAACTTTGGCGTAACTGCTCAATGACAACTTCTTTCTTTGGGATTTCCAATGACCTCCTTTTCTTTGGCCTCTTGGTAGCTTTTTATTGATTATATTAAATTTTACCTTCTACATTCTACAATACAAACTTGGCTATCTGACTCTCTGATCAATTCTACATTTTCTCGGTGGAGTCCTTGTCCTCTTTCTACTAGCTACAGGCACATTCATCAGCCTTTTGGTTTTCTGGGTCCTAGCTCTGTTGAGCTCACCTACTTCCGTAACTGTGACTTTACACTTAGGACTGTAGCCCTGACCTAGTTCAGCTACCTTTAGGACACCCGCATAGGGCTGTCACCATAAATTCACCTTGGCCAATACCGAATTTATAACTTCAGTCCTAAACCACTCTGACCTTCCACAGGTCCCATTTTGGTCAGCCATGTTCGCAGACACCCGTATTCAAAACTTAGAAGTTACTTCAATACTCTCCTCATTTACTGCTCATGTGAAATTATCACGCAAGCAAGGCACTTTCTTCAAAATACTTCTTATTTTTCTCCTCTCCGTTCAAAATGCTACTTCCCTAGTCCAAGCCTCTAATGGATTGTTTCTGAAATGATGCAAGTCTCGGGCATTTCTCCCCACTCCATTGCATCCTGCGTACAACCAGATAAATAGTTTTTCTACCATGCCACTTTCCCTGTATCTTTACCATACCAAAGAACTTACTAGGCTCCCCATTGCTTGTAATTCCAAACCTCAGCCTGCCACTTCCAATTCTGCTGTAAATCAGCCCTATCTTGCCCTTGCCTTGGTGAAATTTCCAAGCAAATATTAGCCTTGGTGTAAATTAAAAATTTTTTCCCTTAATTTCCCACTGTACCTTCCCATATACCTTCTCCTCCGATCATACCCTACCCACTAAACACGGATGGTGGTTCCATCCCCTCACCCACTCACCCATACTTTCATAATGTAACCACCAGTCAAAAGCTCACCTATCCTTCAAATTGTATCTGAAGGATAGTCACCTCCTAAAAGTCGTCCAGGCAACTCCAGTGTATACTGATGCCTGGCCTTCCACTGCCTAAAAACACCTGCCTCAAATTGGCCTAGGCTCTCAAATGTATATGTAATTTAACATTGTTCCAAACATTTTCAGTTTGTGCTAAATGTTTTGCAAGTGTAACCTTGAGTTTTATAAACACTTGCAGGGCAATAGCAACAGCATAGATTTCTGTTCCATCATCAGCATCGGCATCCTTCACAGCTTTGGTCATAGATTACATACACATCAAGTACCACTGAGCTAAAATTTAACTGCACCACATCTTCCTGGTTTTCTGAATACAAGGTGAGTATTAAATGCCCGTGAAAAGTGTGCTGGCCAGCCTGAGCTGGACACGTGCATTGGTGTACTAGTTATTTGGTTCCTCCTTCCCTGGAAGCCTGTTATTCCAGCCCTCCCTGTGCTCTATGTCTCCAGCCCTGGGATCTGTCCCAGGTTAAGAGACGCCTCATACCCTCCCCTCCCACCCCACCATCCCCGGTCCACTCACTGGTACCACTGTCATTGGTTTCAGTGTTTCAGGCTTCTGATGGTCTGTGCGTTCTGTTCCGTGACTAATGGTAGTTTCCGCTTCTTCCCTTCCCTCCTGATCCAACCTGTTCTGCCCTCCGTAGGATCAAGAAACACAGAGTTATCATTGCCTCCATCCAACATCCTCACAGATTCTCTATTTAGAGTCCGTCTCTCCTGCACGCCCAGTGCCCAGGACTTCAGCCCAGGGATCCTCCACACTTTATGTTTGCATGGGATATGTACCCATTCCATTGGCCAGTTCCCTTGACTCAAGGACTGCCCCTCCCTCTCAATGTCTCGGCAAACCCACTGAGTTCTGGCTTTATTCCCCCCACCTGTGGTTGACAAATCTGCGTTGGGGCCTAGTTTCATTTTCCTTATTCATTTTTAGTTGTGGTAATCATTTACACTTCCACATTGCCTAGTTTCTTTTAACTGTTACCTATTCTGACCCTCCTTAGATGTAGAGATCACTCACCAGCCTGTCCTCTGATTCAAATATGGAGTAATCCACAGTGAAATTTGCACCAAAGTCATCTGGGGAGGAGAAAAAAGCAGTAGTGACAAAGGAAAAAGGTAGCAATAGGTCTAGAAACGGAAAGATGAAGAAATTGCTCAGAACATTTCAAGTTGCTCAAGTTGTAAAATTTACTGGTGTGAGCTAATTCTAACGAACGCTAATGTTAAAAATGTGAATGTGTCTGAATTTATATTTTCAATCTGGTTTCTAAAATAATTTATAAATCTGAGGGGGCGCCTGGGTGGCTCAGTCGGTTAAGTGTCCAACTTCGGCTCAGGTCATGATCTCACAGTTCATGGATTCAAGCCCTGCTTTGGGCTCTGTGCTGACAGCGCGGAGCCTGGAGCCTGCTTCACATTCTGTGTGTGTGTGTGTGTGTGTGTGTGTGTGTGTCAAAAATAAATAAACATTAAAAATTTTTTTAAATTGTAAAAAATAAAAAAATTAAAATAAAAAAATAAAATAATTTACAAATCTGAAAGGCGGGTTGGGTGGCTCAGTTGGTTAAGCATCCGACTTCGGCTCAGATCATGATCTTGCCATCTGTGGGCTGGAGCCCCACATCAGCTCTGTGCAGACAGCTCAGAGCCTGGAGCCTGCTTCAGATTCTGTCTCTCTCTCTCTGCCCCTCCCCCAGTCACACTGTCTTTCTCTTTCTCTCAAAAATGAATAGACATTAAAAAAAATTTTTTTTAATACTTTACAAATTTGAAAATCTTCAAATTGTTTCAACCAGTTTCCAAAGAACTGAAAATCACCAGTTTGAAAAAAAACATCATAAGCCTTGATAAGGCCTTTGCTCACAGCCAAATTTCTCTGACCTAGTTGCTCCGATTCCAAAGAGAAAGGCAAAGTCTCAGAAGTAAGTATCCCCAAAACCTCCATCCATCCTGCTGGGGGGTCAGGGACTTACACATACTCACCATAATTGGGAGTGACTGTATAATAATAGACCACCTGATAATAATCGTCTTCTTCCAGTCCTTCTTCATCCTCATATTCTTGTCCTATGGGGACAAGGACTAGAGGTCAAGGGGCATCTCGAACTCCTTAGTAAAAGAAGGACACCTGAAGTTGATCTCCGCTCTCTCAATGTCTTTTCTTTCTGCCTCCCCTCCAAGGTCCTACTATCTCACGGCCCACGTACCTCTAAACCCTTCTCAGTTTTTGGGGCTCCATATCTGTGATGGGGTCTGTACTCCGTGCCCTTTCAATTCAGAAACTCCTAGAAAGGAAATGGGTCCCTTCACTTTCTGTAAACCCAAAATACGAACTAAAGCTAAAAAAGGAAGCGGAGATACCAGAAACCTGAAGAACTCCAAATCTCTTCTCCAGTACTCTTCAGACCATCTTATATCTGTGAGAGACCTCCTCTCCTCAGTGTCTCACACAGAACAGAGACATACATCTTTAGGCTTTTAGTTCCGGATTCACTGCAGAATAGCAGAATAGCCCTGAAGAAGTCGCTTAACATCGCTTTTTTCAAATGAGTCAGCTGGACTAAATGACCCATCTACATTAGTTTTTCTTCCTTCCCAGGACTAAAAATATGTGGCTTTGACATGATTACATCAAGGACTCCAGGCTTCCTACTAAACACTTCCCTAAGCTCCTTGAATGCTCTCCCTGAACCCCAGGCGATGACACACAAATCTGGAGGAAAAGGAAACAATGAGAGTACCTGGCCGACTGGGAACAAAGGAGGGAAGAAGCCCAGCTACTTTTGGGAGCCTGTCCCTGAGGGAAGCGAGTTGTCCATTACTCTGAAGGCCACCCCCTACCTCTGTGTCCTCACCAATACAAGGGTTTTTCTCCAACCCTCTGGGAAGGAAACATGCTGGCTTCTCTCACTAGTCTCAGGTCACCCCACCTTCCAAGAGCCCACCTCTCTCCTCCAGCCTCACCGTAGCACTCCCCATCTTGCTCAACTCTGCTATGATGGACAGCCGAGGTGTCTCTTGTTAGGGACTCCCAGTGACAAGGGCTACATCTGCACCAGCCGTCTCTTTTCTGAAAGGACTCTGTTTTCCTCCCCCTCTTCTGGCTCTACTTTCCAGATCCCACCCTCCACCCCTGCCCCAACATCGGACCCTGGCACAAATGAGTGTCATTGCTCCTATTACGTTGCGCCTCTCCCCCTCTCCTCATTTTTCTCTTCTCCCACCCCACTGATGATAGCAGAACTGGCCCATAAGCTCCAGGAGAGAAAGTGAACTTACCCAGGATGAGCGGCACAGCCAGGATGGCTACGAAGAGGACATCCATTCTGGATTCTGGACTGTTGCCGTGAAAGTAAAAAAGGAAATTACAGCGTTTCTCACCAAACTTAGCCCGCCTCCAAAGCTGCTGCAACTCTTTTCCCCGAGGGAGTCAAATTCCCCGCCCAGTTGCTGACTGTCTAGGTCATTGACAGCAACCGGTCAGCCAGAGAGCTGTGCAGATTAAGACAGAGGCAAAGTGGGTTTTGATGCGAACACGTTCACTGAGCTTCCCCGGCCCTAGATGAGACCCATTCAGGACTCTCGCTGCCACCGCCAAAGCAAGCAAGCAAACAAAAGGCCAGACCAACACCAAAAACCCCAGCCTATGCAGGGGCTTCCCCTTTGAAGAAGACGACTCCCTCCCAGTCCTCACAAAAAGCTCACCCTCCCCCTCACGGTTCCTAACTTCCCATCGCTATCAAGAGTCCAGGCTTACTCACAATCTCTTTCTTCACAGTCAAAATATTCAGAAGAACCGATGAGCACTCTTTCTAGACAGAAAAATGTCCTCTCTTCTGCTTGTCTTGGGCTATGAAATACAAGAGCAATACTAACATCGTTGTCCAATACTCAAAGCACCTGCTGCATTACTTCTGATAAAAATCTCCCAGCCATGGCCAGTTATTTCCTCTGTGGTAAGTACTGACCTCAATTCATCTCTTTCTCCACTTTCTGGGTACAGGATGGAAGAAGGAAGGAAACAGCCTCTTTCCTCAAATAGGTGCCACCCCCCTTCTCCGACTTTCAGTCACTTGGTATGTGACCTTCGTTCTAGTCCACAGGGATAGAGTTCGTCTTGCCCTTCTCTCTGCTTTTATGTTTCCCATTTTCATTCAGTTCAACCCAGAAGCATTTAGTAAGATATATGCTAGGCCCGGTCTGATAGACAATTCAGAGTTCATTGGCAAGGGAATAAGAATAGTTATGTTTTTGGAAAGGAAGTTAATAAATATCTATTCAACATCTACCACGAGCCACGCACTATGAAAGTCTGTGTGGAACCACCTGTGGACAAGAGGGGTTTGGTGTTTGCTCTTAGCACTCAGAAGATGCTGTGACAATAGCTCAAAGGAGAGATGAGAAGAGCTCTCTTATGCCTATCTCTTCCCAAAACGGCCTGCTAGCCTTAGAAGCAAGACACGCTGGAGTTTTGAGCCCTGGCCAGGATGTTTCCACCAATCTCAACCTTTTGCGGGGGAGGATTTGCTTGGTGATGGTGATTTTCCATGTAAATCTATACCATCTATCCCTTCAGCTCCTTTCTAGAATTTCCTGGAAAAAAATGTAAAAGGCTTCTGTGGATGTACCCATATGCATGAAGCCATACATCACTTCCAGGGAGGAAAGGAAGCCTGATTCTCTTTGAACAATTTCTATAGTTGCTTTTTTAGACTTTGATCAGTCTCTCAAAAACAGTACTCCAGATTCCCTCACTTTCCCATCCTGGTACTCTATTGTCTAACCAGCCTCCCTAACTGACTCTACCCCCATAGCAAACGAGGTTAAAACACCTTCTTCTCCAATTTTCTTTCACTCTAAAACACACAACCCCTGTTCCTTCCCCTGGCCTGAGGAAAAGACACCACAGAGGTTCATTTTCAGAAAATAAATAGAGGAAGTATGACCTAAAAGGAACTGTGTGACCTGGGGGGGGGGGGGGGACGAGGGTGCTTGTTGTTTTCCTTCAACCCCATAGCTCGAATTGCTTTTGGCAAACAGTCTTAACTCCGAATCTTAACACCGAATCCCATCTGACCTCCTTCCTAACATTGCTCTCCAGGCTCCTCTTCTCTCCTACTCTCTGGTCATTACACAGGAAAGCTTCGTTAGCTGTATACTCACTGAATTGCATGCTTCCTATACTCGTCTGTTCAAAGAGCTCTTACTTTTAAGTCTAACCTTCATCTCTTAGGCAGTAGCTCAAGGCCATTTCCTCTTATTCAAGTAAGAACAATACCCGTCCCTATCTCTCTGCACCCTCTATCCTGTGCTTTCTTTGTATTTGTCCTTTAGGTTCCAACAGGATCTTCCCCTCCCCCCGCTCTGCAGCTCTTCGAGAAGACGCAGAATCGCTACCACCCTTCCCCACAAAATAACGAAAGGAAGCCGCAGCCAAGGTCCAATGGGACCCAGGAACCCGGGCCAGTCCCGGCCCACTCCTCCTTAGACCTGCTTGAGCCACTCCCAGGACCGAAGTCAGAGGCTTAGTAGGGCAGGAGGACTACAACTCCCAGCAGGCCGTGCGGCATCGTCCCCGCCCCCGCAGCTCCGCCCCCGCCGAGTCTCCATTGGCTTTCGGGGAGTGGGAATTGGATGGGAGGTGGCCATGGGGCTGCGGCCGGGGTTTGTTACCTCCTCGGCTTCCGTAGAGGAAGTCGCGCGGACCTGTACCAGGGGTTTCGGTGTCCCCCCTCCCCTTCCCTGGGGTCCGGGGGTGACATTGCACCGCGCCCCTCACGGGGTCGCGTCGCCACCCCAAGCCGACTCCTTAGCTGACGTGCTCCCCCCATCCACCCCTCTTGGCCAGGCCTCCACCCCGCCCCCAGCTGCCCAGCCATGGGGGCCGCAGTGTTTTTCGGATGCACTTTCGTCGCTTTCGGCCCGGCCTTTGCGCTTTTCTTGATCACTGTGGCTGGGGACCCTCTTCGCGTCATCATCTTGGTGGCGGGGTGAGTAGGGGGTCGAGAAGACGCGGGAGGGCGCCAGAGAGAGAGAGAGAGATCCGGAAGGGGCTGGGCGAGCTTGGGAGCCTGAGTTGGGGGAGCAAGTCGGAGGTGAAGATTGGAAAGGGTCGAGTCGGGGGTCTGGAGGATCTGCCCTTTCCCGCAGTTGGTTTCCGCCTTCCAGGCATCGCACAGATTCCTCCTATACTCCTCCCGGCGACGTCAGAGAAGGCCCAAGGCCAAGACTCGTGAGGGGGGTGTGCTGACCTCCGCCGGCCTAAAGGAGGATCCAGGAATGGATACCTCTCCCTACTACTGTGCGCGTACATTCTGGCTCTCATCGCTCTGAAGACTCACTAGTCAGATTTCTATCCCTTCCCCTGCGTCCGGATCCCTGCAAGACTCTCTGGGTGGAGACACCTACCCCGTCTCCTCCCAGTCTTCCAGACCATCCGGAAGTCTAACTTCCACTTAACGTGCTGCAGCCTTGATTGGTTGCCTCCTTGATTTCTCTGGCTCTCCCTACCCTGGCCTTTCTGATTGCCCTTGTCTTTCCTTAGGGCATTTTTCTGGCTGGTCTCCCTGCTCTTGGCCTCTGTGGTCTGGTTCATCTTGGTCCATGTGACCGACAGGTCAGATGCCCGGCTCCAGTATGGCCTCCTGATTTTTGGTGCTGCGGTCTCTGTCCTTCTACAGGAGGTGTTCCGCTTTGCCTACTACAAGCTGCTTAAGTAAGAAGAGGGGATGGTCCAGAGGGGAGAAGGGCAGAGGATTGCGCTATGAGAAGTGGGGCAGCCCCTGGGTGGTGGTTTGGAGGAGACGCCAAGGGAGGACGTCAGAGGGAAAGGAGCATTCCTGCCCCTCCTCATGTTTCCCCTACCCCACCCCACCCCCCCACCCCAGGAAGGCAGATGAGGGGTTAGCATCGCTGAGTGAGGACGGAAGATCACCCATCTCCATCCGTCAGATGGCCTATGGTGAGCCAAGGGAGAGGGGCTGGAGGAGGGAGTTGGACACCCCCCCCCCCTCCGCCACGGAAGTCAAAAACATCTACGTGTTCTAAGGGGCTGCTGCTTTTCCTTCATACCTGACTTCCAAGGAGAGGTGGGCTGGAGGGAGAGTAGGTGCGGGGGAACTGTACCTGGGAATGGGGCAAGATCACTGGTGATCAGGGCGTGGTGATCTCTGACATTGATGAGCCCCTCCTTCCCCCCAGTTTCTGGTCTTTCCTTCGGTATCATCAGTGGTGTCTTCTCTGTTATCAATATTTTGGCTGATGCACTTGGGCCAGGTGTGGTTGGGATCCATGGAGATTCACCCTATTACTTCCTGACTTCAGGTAAGTTCTGCTTTCTGTCTCGCCCTCATGCCCCGTCCATCCCTGGCCCTGATCTGAGTTATTGGCCCTCCGTGCGAGACTTCTTTGGCTCAGCATCTCAGGAGGCCAGGAGGAGGTGAGGGATGGAGCTCAGCCCCCATCTCCCTCCCTGCAGCCTTTCTGACGGCAGCCATTATCCTCCTGCACACCTTCTGGGGGGTTGTGTTCTTCGATGCCTGCGAGAGGAGACGGTACTGGGCTTTGGGCCTGGTGGTTGGGAGTCACCTACTGACATCAGGACTGGTGAGTTGGGGCCAGGGGCCAAGTAAGAACAAAAATTTAATGGGGAGCGGGATGGAGGGAGCTCCATGCTCACTTCTTACCGTTTTAAAACACATCTAGGGAGGAGGCAGAAAGGTAAGTGTTTAGAAGTCTCTCACCTGCCCTGGGGATCCTCTGGGAGTTTGAACGGATTAGTCCCACTGTAATACAAATGGCCTGAGGTGAGCAGGAAGGCGGAAACCTCTGAGGGAGCCCATCAAAAGTCCTCTGGACAGCACCACACTGGTGCCCCAAGGGAAGGACCAGGGGATTGGAGAGGGCCACCTGGCGGGAGGTTTGGGTCAAAGGCATGTAGAGAATGTGGGGATTAGGCAGAGGGAGAAGCTAAACTCATTCCTACTCTCCTCCCCACCCCTAGACATTCTTGAACCCCTGGTATGAGGCCAGCCTGCTGCCTGTCTATGCGGTCACCGTCTGCATGGGGCTCTGGGCCTTCATCACGGCCGGAGGGTCCCTCCGGAGTGTCCAGCGCAGCCTCTCGTGTAAGGACTGACTACCTGGACCGAGCGCCCGACAGATCCCACTGCCCATGACTGAGCCCAGCCCTAGCCCGGGTCCATTGCCCACCATCCTCTGTCTCCTCCTCGCCGGTCTGTCCCACCACCTTCAGGGTTTCGCTTTGTCCACTCATGACCTTTAGCCTCTAGGCGTTACCAGGAGCCGCCTGGGTTCGGCCAGTCACTGACTGGCGGGTTTGAATCTGCACTTATCCCCACCATCTGGGGACCCCCTTGTTGTCCAGGACGCCCCGTGTGTCAGTGCTCTGCTCTCACCCTGCGCAAGACTCACCCCCCTTCCCCTCTGCAGGCCGACGGCAGGAGGACAGTCGGGTGATGGTGTATTCTGCCCTGCGCATCCCACCCGAGGACTGAGGGCACCTGGGGGGGGGACCCCTAGGCCTGGGGTGCCCTCCTGATCTCCTCGGCCTGTATTTCTCCATCTCCAGTTGTGGACAGTGCAGGTTGCCAAGAAAAGGGACCTAAGCTTAGCGGCTGCTGCGGAGATGAGATTAGCAGAGGCTCAAGGGTAGATGAGCTCGAAGCTTCCCAGTACCGCCTCCCCAGACTGGGCGTCTTGGTCTTTTTCTCAGGTCTGAGGGGAACCATGTTGGGTGTGATAAAGACCCCCAAACTGCCTTTCCCTTTTTTTTTTTTTTTTTTTGAGTGGGGCGGGAGGAGGAGTTGGAATTATTCTAACCTCCTCGGACGTATATTTTCTCTCCTCAAATACTCTTCATGGCTGGGCTTATATCTATCTCCCTTTCCCTCTGGTCACAGGCCTTGGGGGGGAAAGGAAGGAAGTGCATGTTTGGGAAACTGGTATTACTGGAACTAATGTTTGGACCTCCTGGACCACCAGCAACCCTCCCCTCCCCAAGGTGAAGTGGAGGGTGCTGCGGTGCGCTGGCCCCCTCCAGAGTGGCAATGCCACTGGAGAAGTCAGGCTACCATGACGTCACAGGGAAGGAGGGCAGATTTTTTTCTAGTTTTTAATTGGGGTGTGGAGGGCGTGGGGCGGGAAGGTTTTCTATAAACTGTATCATTTTCTGCTGAGGATGGCACATCCCATCCTTTTAATCAAGGTGATTGTGATTTTGACTAATAAAAAGGACTTTATAATTGTGGGGGAACGTGGCTTTGAAAGGAGGGGATGACATGCTATTTGAGACTTCTGCCCTCCGACGTCTCGTACCCAACCTCTTTCCAGACCTGGGAACGTCTCGTCCCCTCCAGCATGGCTTGGGTACAAGGGTAAAAATCTGGGTCTCAGAGGTCACAAACTTTGGGTTAAGCATTTTCCAGAAGTGGATCTTCCTTCGCAGGACTGGGGTTAAAAAGAGTTATTCAGCCATGCTGCTTTCCCCCGGTCCTTTGCACACATCTGCCACCTGAGGAATTAAGGAACTCCTCCTCCACTCTCAAGAGCCCCAAAGGTAAGGCCAGAGGTGGGGTTAGAAACTTTAATTTCCAGATATATTGAACAAAAAAATATAACCCCAACAGCAGCAACTCGTTTTCCTAAGGGGATGCCCTGCACTCCATGTAGGGAAAGGGACATAAAAGCAAGGGAATGGAGGACCTTGGGGCGCACCCCCAGCTTCCCCTGCTAATAAACACAATTCGCCCTCTGCATTGGCGACATGAGAATGGTCCTGATCATGTTTTGAGAGTCCAAAGGCTCTACTATTAGTCTTTGAATGAGAGCCTGTCCGGAGGAAGGAGAGGTGTCTGCCCACTACTTCTACAGTATTTTCTGGCCAGTCCCTGCACCTCATCTTAGAAGCTCCTTGGCTGGCAGGAGGGAAAGGCATCCACCACGTCCGAGAGGGAGTCTATGCCTCTGTGGTTCGCGCTGAGGTGAAGACCACGCTCTTCCGGTTTCCCAGCCTCTTCTTCCTGGAAGGCGGGAATAGTTCATGGCAATGACTAGTGTGCTAGGTGAAACAGATCAGAGGTGGACTCGAGTGCTTTTCAGTAGAAAAAGCACCGAAGGGACGGGAAGGAGGACCTCACCGAATCTTCCTAGCGATGAAATAAACAGCCAGCAGAAGGCAGAGACAGCCCACCAGGATTCCCACTCCTAGACTCAGCATTTCGCCTGGGAGAGGGGAAGATGGCGAGTGTCATTCATTCGAGGACTAACATGGGTGCTGAGCCTTCCCTCCCTCATGGCGGAGCACCCTCCCATCTTTTCATACCCGGGCTAGGCCATCTTACCTGTGCTGTACAGGGATCCCACTGTAAGGGAAGGAGACTTGGGTCAGTGGGACTTGAGCCCCCCATCGCAGCTGGGGGCACACCCTGCCTCTACATCCGGCACCTGGCACTCGGTAGGGTGATCCCAGTTCAAGCAAGTCCTAGAAACCCCTCCCCGCCTAGCCTGCCTTTTCTTCCCAGGGGCTTCCTAGCTCCTGCCACGGAGCCCCCCAGCTTCTCGTCTCCTTTTCCAAGCCCTGTACATTCACCTTGGATGAAAGAAGCAAAGACTGTTCGCTGATTGAGAGGCTGGGGGGCTCGGTAGTTCCGCACCAGGAGCTTCGAGGGCTCCTCTTCTGTGGAGAACAATGTCTCCTGAAGCTCTTCCAGCTGAGGAGCAGAAGAATGGGATTAGGGGAGAAGCATCCCTCACTTTGGGGACTGGGAAAGGGTCTGAGGTGACCGTTGCATCTCTGCTGCCTCACCTCTTCCCCACTCACCTGTTCCATGGAAATCTGAGCCTTTCGGTTGAAGACGGTCCAGAGCACACTCTGATAGCAGGGAGGGGTGGTGAGTGAGCCGTTGTAGCGGAAGAACTGGTCCAGCTGCGGGGGGAGCAGCTCTGCCACGTTGAAGGGAGGCACTGAGGTCTTCTGATCTGGAGGAGAACAGGCTAGCACTCCTCTTTCCCTCACTGTCCCCCCACACGGGGCTCCCAGAGGTGAACCCCCCCTAGCGCCTAGGTCACTGTCCTCCCAGGCCTCTCTGGCCTTGTCTAATCTCACAGGCTCACCTTTGTTCCTAATTTCATGCAGGTGACTCAGAATGTGTTCATAAGCTGGATTCTTTGTCTCTCCCACCTAAAAGGGAGAGTTTGGAATGAGTCCATGTCGGGAGTAAGACGTTCACATATAGAATAAGTGGTCAGAGTGGGTTGTTGACTAGCCTGGGGAGGGAGAGCAACGGACACAGGCAGGGTAGGGCTGAGGGGTGCAGAGGGAGTGGAGAGAGACTCTGGTGGGGGGGTGAGGGGCCCAAGGGCCACTCACCTCGATGAGGATGCCCAAGACCGCCAGGCCCCACGGCATCGGAGCAGCCTCGCTCAAGCTGCCATAGGAATCCGAATCATAATGTACAATGTGCAGCTGAGGGAAGGGAAAGGGAATTCGGTCACTTAATGTTCCTCCACGACCCCTTCCTAAGGGCTTTGACCTTGGCAGCTACCACCACCACCACCTCCAGCATGCCCTAAAACTTGCCCACAAAGGTCAGCCTTATCCCCCAAGCGTGACTTTTCCCAGTTTCCAGACCCTTCCTGTCCCTGGCACTGACTGAGCCTGTCCCTGTGTCCCAGCCCAAGCTTTGCTCCCCAGGTACCTCTGCGGCTGTGGCTTCACTGTTGATCTGGTGCTCGGATCCCCCCAGGGAACCCGTCTCCCCCCAGTGCAGGTGGAGCTGGGCAGCGACATATCTTCGGGGAAATCCCTCCAGATGCATGGTAGGGGGTAGAGAGAGTTGCACTGTAAGGAGAAGAGAGCGAGTTAGGGTTGGTGGGGGAATGTGGACACGTCCCCATGGCTGCGTCACCGCTGCTCCTTGGGCGGCTTGGCCAGCCTTTTCTGCCTCTGTCCCCGAGTAGCGCCCAGTGCTTCTAGCATATCTCCCCCTTTTTCAATGGGGATCCAATTCATGCTATGGTACTAATCCATCCTTAGAGCGTCATTGTAGACATTCACGCCCCACCTTTGGCTATAGGAGCCTCAGTCCCATTCTCACATCTCCAAATTCATAGATGAAGTCTTCTAAGAATATGGAAATTAGGATGCATCTTTTCTCCTGACCCCTAAGATTGGAACCAGGGTTTACACCTCCTTGGAGCCTGGGCTTTTTACCTGTGTGGCCATTATTGTGCAGGTCCAAGGGCTCGATGCCAGGCTGGTCATATCCATGGGGCTGCAGAGTGGGCAACTCAGGGTCAAAGGTCACACTGTCTGTCTGGATATTGATGGGGGACTGGGCGTCGCTTCCACACTCAGGGTAAGAGGCTGGCCAGTGGTCTTGACCATGTGGGCCTGGTGGGATTATCAGGGGCGTTTGTCCTGCTCTCCAAGCCCCAGCCATTCTTCTGGAACCTTCCCCCACCAACCCAGGCAACCTAGCCAGTTGTGCAGGGCTAGGTGAGGCAGGGTCCCTGCTCGGCTTAAGGCTGCTGCAGGCTTCCCCTACCCCCAGGCCGTGAGGATGCCCCAGGTCTCCTGGTAGGTGGAGGGTAGTGGCTTTTACTTACCTGCAGTTGGGGGACAAGAAAGCGGAATGGGAGGAAAGGGGGATGGATGGATGGAAAGCCTGCGTGCCTGGCGAGGTGGGACTGGAGGAGAAACAGGATGGCTGGGGGAATAAAATGATCCTCGAAAGAGCAAGTCTCTGTGGGGGCCCCTACTCAGTGGCCTGGGGATACCATTCCCTCCTCTGACTTCTCACAACTCATTTCTTGCTCTCACATTGGCCCTTGCATCGACTCTGGAATCCAGGCACTAGTCAGAAGTCCAAAGGAATGGAGTCCACCTCCACCAAGGTCATAAACTATCCCGCCAGCCAGCCTCTTCCTCACCCCTGACCTCAGGCTCTGTCCCAATTTCAGATGCAGGTAGGATCAATGAGGTCAGAAAGAGAGCCAGGAAGTAAATGGGCAGCTAAGCTCAGCGTTCCTTTCCCTGCCTGGTTTCCCTCTCCCTCCAGCCCCCTCATTGCCACAGACTGACTGGAGACATCACGGGCCTCTCTGCTGAATCAGGAGGTATGGGATCTGACAGTCCCAACGGGGTCCGGGAGTCAAACACGGAAATCGAAGGGCCTGGGAGTCCGGGGGAGGAGCTGGGCTGAGAAGCTAAAGGGAACTCGGCATAAGTCTTCCTGGCAGGTGAAGAGGTCCCAGTGTGAAAGGGGTAGCGGTGGGCTTTAGGCTCGGCTCTCACCCTCATAGGTCCAGTGCTGACCTGCAAGGCACAGAAAGTGGAGTTGCCAGCGGGGCGGCGGCCTGCACTCTCCCCTCCCCTCCCCTCTCCTCTCCACCCCTCCCACTCTTTCTCCGCCCTCCTCCCCGGAGCACATCCCAAAGGAAGCCCTGAAACCCGACACCTCGATGGAAAGGTCGGGGGGCCTATTTAAAATCACCAGCCGGGCTGTGAGGGTGTGTGCTGAGTACGGGAGGAGGAGAAATAAGTAGATCGAGCCCAGAGCCTAAAATTAACCTGGACCCAAATGTGCAGCCAGCCCCACTCTGACTTTCTCCCGCCAGGGCTAAGCCACCCCCACGCCTAGAGGATTGGGGTGAGGTGAGGGTGTGGACAGCGGGCTTGGAGGAAAGCAACTAGAACAAGGGGAGGGGAAAAAAGAGTATAGTAGGGGGTAGTGCTAAGAGGCGAGAAGGGCCGTTATTTTGCTCAGAAGCCTTGCACACATTGAGACCCTTGGCTGTGAAGTCACATTCAAGTTCTTCCTTTGGTCCCGGTAGCTCTGAAGGAAACTTTCCCCATCACCTGGAGCCTCGGCTCCCTAGATCCCTGGTTGGCTAGGGAAGACCGAGTCAGGGCAGGGTCCGGGCCACATGGAGGGTAGTGGGTGGGCACAGGCAGCCAGGCTGGCAGAGACAGACTGAAAACGAAGCATTGTGTGCGGAAAAGAGAGCTGCCAGCCTGGGTCACATGCCAGGGCTCTCGTGCAATCCTGTCTCCTGCTGAAAGGCTGGGGGGTCTGCTGGCCCAGCCCCACCCAGGGCCAGGCCCCTGAAGGGGGAGAGGGAAGACCTTCCTGCAGGGTTTCTGGGCATTATTCAAATAGCTACTTCAAATTCAAACTCTGGAGAAAAATTCTCAGTTCCTTTCCCTCTCTCTCATTCCCTTGAATTCCTCAGACTTCTGAGATAACCTTGATCTCATCCTTGGGCTCTTGTTCTGGCCCATCCCTTGTTCAGACAACTCAAAGAGCAGCCCAAGGGAGGGCTGGAGGCAGCCTCTCACCAGCTCGTGGGGACACTCGGACAACTTGAACTCCATGGTTCGGTGCTGGGCCGACAGCCTTGCCCTCCCACCAAATCCTCAACCTGCTAATTTTTCATCTCTTCTTCCTCTTTCCTTAGTTTTTAAAATTTTCCCTCAGATGCACTTTCCCACCCTCCTTTTGGCTGGCCCCTCACTCCTCCCTGCATTCCCCTCTGCTCTCTAGACACTCCCTCCACCCCTGCTCTTCTAAGGGATCTTAATTACACACCTACTATGTCCTGGATACTGAGCTAGGCCTGGCATAGGCATATGGCATAGCAAACCCAAAAATGAGGGGTAGGGGAGCTGAGGACACTCTTGGGAGCACCTCGGCCTGTTCTCCCCAAAGCCCTCATCTCCTGGGAGCTTCTGAAAGTCCTTTGTAAACTGTAAAGGGCCCAACGGTGTTGACTATTATCGCAACTGCTTTCAGGGAGAAACTGGGAACTCAGTCGCCCCACAGAATCAGGAGGGGGCATTGGCCATGAGGTTCATAGTTGGGGATCAGGGTCCGAGGGAGTGAGGAAGTGTAGAGGTATGCCCCCCTCATCAGTCCTTTTTCTTTTCACTCTTTGCCTCCTTGGCTCCCTAATTGGGGGAGTTCTGAAATAAAGGGAGGCCGGGGGGCTAGCCTGGGACTAGGGCAGAGGGGCAGAGAGCTCCGGAGAGAATCTATAGCCTGTAAGGAGATTCCCGCAGCGGGTGTATGCACCCTGCTCTCCAGCTAGCTCCCCAGCCCTCCCCCAAGCCCCACGAACTGCAAGGCTGTACGCAAAGAAGGAAGATGGAAAGTGCCCTTCTCTCCACTCCTCTCCCTTCCCCCCCCCCATCCCCGAGTCTATTATTCTAGCCCCTTGGGCTTCCTTTTACATTCCTCCTCCTCCCCCCATTAAGCGAGCCTGGCGGCACGTGGACGCCAGCACGGACACACAGACATCCAGATGTACCTACCCCCATCTGCAGCCAGGATCCAAATCACCTGCAGCAGGAGGGTGAAGAACAACATGGTATCCCCAGAAGAAGCAGGTACTGGGAGTTTGGGGACTAGAGGACTAGGGTTGGCAGAGAAAGGAGGGGGAGAGGGAGAGAGGTATAAAGAGGGAGAGAGAGAGAGAAGGGGAGAAGAGGGAGGGAGGAAGGGAGAGAGAGGGAAGTGGAGAGGGACAGAGAAAGAGAGAGAGATGAGTTTCTTGGAGCTGAGCTGGATGTATTTCTCTCTTTTTCTCTTGCTTTCTCTGTGTCTCTGTGGCCTTCCAGGGGATTTGGTTTTCAGTAGGGGTACCGCAGGGTTTGAGGTCCCCAGGACAAATCTCTCGCCGCCTCCCTCTTTTTTTTAATCTACCTCCACAGTCTTCACTGCACTTGCTGGCCAGTGACTTCACAATTGCCTCCCGCTTTTAAGGTGGCTCTGGACGGGTGTACGTGGTGAGGGGGTGCCGCCGGGGCTGCTGGCGCACAGCTCCTTAAATAGCCGATTAGGCATGCAGGGTGGCCCCGCGCAGGGCTGGAGCCTGCTGAGGCTTCCCGGGAGCCCTGGCCCTGGCTCAGGAGCCCAGCCGGGGTGAGCTCTTCCTTCCTCGGCTCCTCTTGTGGCCACCGTCCAGATGGGTGTCCCCCGGAGGGGGCTGTGGCTTGGAAGGAGGGCTTGGGGGTCCAGTCCAGCCCCCGCCCCCCTCAGGAGGACACTGGGTTCTCATTCCCCATCTGGCTTCTCTGAGGAGCCACTCCCCTGGGTGGCAGAGGGTGGGAAGACCTGTCCCCAGTCCCCTGCGGGATAGGCGCTAGAGTTTGGAGATAGGTCACCAGGAGGAGCTGGGGACTTGGGCTGCAGGGGGGTTGGGGATGGGAGGTCCAGGGCTAGAACCTGGCTTGTGGAAAGTAAAGAAGAGAAGTGAGGCAAGAGAACTTGTTTGGAGCGATCTCTTTCTCCTGCGCCTGTCACCACCCCCTTCCCACGGTGAGGCCTGGGTCCACGTGCCTGTGTGGCCGGGTGGGGGGGTGGTTTTGTTTGCTGTATAAAGCCCATTTGTGTGCCCAGCGGGGGAGGGGCTGCAGCAGCACCACGGAGAGACAGCGGCTCCAACTGCCCGACCCAGCCACCTCCCTCCCCAGGGAGCCCAGATCTAGGGCGGCTTTTGTCATTGAAGAGGACACTGACCCCTGGCCGGGAGGCCAGGGCGGGAGGAGAGGTGGGGAGACCTCAGAAACAATCATTACCACCGTAAAAAAAAAAAAAAAAAAAAAGCGGACTCCAGAGAAAGGGAGGGGAGGGAGCAGAGAGAGACCATGTGATCTAGTTGAAAGAGGGGCCCAGGGTCTTCCCTCCAGCCCAACAAAGGGCTGAGGCAGGACTCGCGGGCCTGAGTGAAATCTGCCACAGGGGAGCTGGGGGAGCAGAGGACAGAGGCCGCCGGGTCACAGGAATGCGGGCTGGTGCTTGTTTCCCCACGGGACTGGAAATCCCGATTGGAATGTACATCCTAAATCCCTCATTAGAGACTGTGAAACACACAGATAAATTCAGGCTAGACACTCCACTCGGACCCCTTTCTCCTCCACGCCCTTCACCGGCGGCACCAGCCCTGGTGCTGCTGCGATGCACCCAGTTGAACTGCCTCTGCTTTCATCGCTCCTGCCAAGGAGCAAGAAACAGCCAAAACAAAGGGAGCAGAAGCTAAAAAAGGGAGCAGGAGGAAAGCCAAATGATCAGAATAATGCATGGGCTGGGCCATCGGTGCCTGCTGAGGCAGGAGCCACCGTGCCTTCCTGTCCCCTGGGACTGAGCTGCAAAGCCAAACCATTTTGCAGATGTCATTTCCTTTTTAATTTTCTCATCAGCCTCAGGATTGTTTTTCCCTTACAGGAGCGTTTTACGTTTTGAGGTTCCCCATAAGTCCCACTCATTTCATCTAAGAAGAATAAAAGGCATAAAGTATAAACTAGGCTTCCTGGGAATCAAGAGAGTTAACATAGCGGAACGGAAAAAAGAAGAAAAGCAGAGACGTCCACTGGATAGTAGGAAAGACTAGGCCTGCACAGAATGACCTCTGTGGGGACAGAGTTCCCTTCCAGCGTGATTCAGCCTCCCAAGGCTTCCCAGGCGCCACCTTCTGGTTGTCTTATGAATTTTTAAATTAACAACATTTAAAAAAATCTTTATATTTTGAGAGGGAGAGATTTTGAGAGAGAGAGAGAGAGAGAAAGCGCAAGCAGAGCAGGGGCGGGGGGGGGGGGACAGGGAATCCAAAGCACGCTCGAGCCGACAGCAGTGAGCTGATGCGGGGCTTGAACTCATGAGCTCACAAACTCATGAGCTCATGAACTGAGAGATCATGCCCTGAGCTGAAGTCGGACACTTAACCGACAGAGCCACCCAGGTGCCCCTACTTTTTAAATCTTTAATTTAAAATGGCTGTGTGATTGCTTCAGGGAAGTGTTTCACTGCTGGTGGGATTTGGGATTTTGCCTACAGAAATAAACATTGTTTCACAAAAATGTCTTAGTCCCAAATCAGCACCTCGACTTCTGCGTGAGCAGCCTTTCCAGGCTCTCTGAGGTTCCCGAATGGACAAAGGGCCTTGTTTTCTTGGCAAACACCGTCCTCCAGGGACTTGCCTTTATTTTGCTCTTTATTTTGCTTTATTCATACTTGTTCTACTATGGGTATTTCTGGTGTCATCAAGCTAATTTGGAGAAAATGTCAAGAGGACCCTTATGTTAAAACAAAACAAGATAAAACAAAACAAAATCCACACCACCCCCCATTCCCTTCACCTCAGTGGCTACTCAAACTCTGGCACCTTTGTTTTAATTCCCACTTCTCTCTCCAGCACATTCCTCACCCAGGGAGGGGGTGGGGGTTGGCTAAATCTAAGGCGTTCCACTGCCATCTGGCGCCATCTCCTGTCCTTTCAGATGCAGTGACATGTGAACAGGTCCGAGAATCAAGTGGTCAAGGGTGGTGACTTTTTGGTTTGTTTTTTCTTAAAAGATCCTTTGATTTTTTTTTTTTCTGAGAGAGAGAGAGAGAGAGAGACAGGGTGAGCAGGGGAGGGTCAGAGAGAGAGGGAGACACAGAATCCGAAACAGGTTCCAGGCTCTGAGCTAGCTGTCAGCACAGAGCCCGATGTGGGGCTCGAACCCACGATCAGTGAGATCATGACCTGAGCCAAAGTCGGATGCCTAACCGACTGAGCCACCCAGGCGCTCCCTTAAAAGACCCTTTGAATTTTATTATTTTTTAAATTTAAGTAATCCCTACACCCCACTGGGGCTCAAATTTATGACCTCCGAGATCACGAGTCGCATGCTTTCCTGACCTGAGCCAGCCCCATTAAGAGGCCCTTTTAGGGGTGCCTAGGTGGCTCAGTTGGTTAACTTTCTGACTTCAGCTCAGGTCATGATCCCACAGTCCGTGGGTTCGAGCCCTACATCGGGCTCTGGGCTGTCAGCACAGAGCCTGGAGCCCACTTCAGATTCTGTGTCTCCCTCTCTCTTTGCCCCGCCTTTGCTCATGCTCTGTCTCTCTCTCAAAATAAATAAATGCTAAAAAAAACAAAAAACAAAAAAACCAACAACTATAAAAATAGAAAAATAAATAAAAAGGATATTTAGGGTGCCTGAATGGTACAGTTGGTTGATCTCTCTCTGCCCCTCTTCCTTGTGCTAATAAATAAATAAATAAATAAATAAATAAATAAATAAGACATTTGGACATTTACAGTCCAAAAGTGTCCTAAATAGTCTAAAACACCTCAGTTCAATGTGGGAGGGAGACAGATCAAACGGAAAGGAGAATGCCAACCCAGGAACAGGAACTTAGTCAAGCAACACAGGTGGTAACTAATTACCAAGAAGAGAGAATCAACGAGGAGACAGAATTAGATGGAATTCAGTTTTCTAAAAGAGCAAGCAACTTTGTACCATGAAGTAATGTAGACCCAGAGATATTCTAAATTGATAATCACGTGTATTATGACACGCTTGTCTCCTAACACATTAGTACTGAAGTCTCTTAAGCAAACACAAGAACGAATTTCAAGAATTAAATTCTAAGTGAAATTAAAAAAAAAAAAGGAATTAGAGCCACAGTAATTCGGAGGAGGGGTGGTCAGTATTCTGGATCATTTTTTCAGTTTTCCAGTTTACACTGCATGACAAATGCAGCATGAGACTATTGTAGACAGTAGACAGGTAAGTTTGGGTCTAAAATCTTGCAACTTTAATGAAAAAGGAGTAATTGTGTGTCCTGCGTTGATTCCATGCCCAGAGCACTACCTGGTATTTGCTGACCAAATGAGTAATCTAGTCATTGGAACATTTATTTGCTTTCTTTCCATCTTTGGTATTTCACAGAATTAAAAAAACTTTTTTAAATGTTTTGTTTATTTTTGAGAGAGAGAGAGAGAGACAGCTGTGAGCAGGGGAGGGTCAGAGACAGAGGTAGATACAGAATCTGAAGCAGGCTCCAGGCTCTGAGCTGTCAGCACAGAGCCCGACACGTGGCTCGAACCCATGAACAGTGAGATCATGACCTGAGCCAAAGTCGGACGCTTAACCGACTGAGCCAACCAGGCGCCCCAATTTCACAGAATTTTAGACCAGAAGGGTTCTCAGGCATCATTCCAACTCCTTTGTTACATGCTGTGAAGACAGAGTTTTGAGGGGGGTTGGGATTCTCTCATGGTTAGACACAGCAGCTAAGCTAAACCGGAGCAAAGGCACAGACACCATTGGACTTTCTGCTTATACCACTGGTTCTCAAACATAGTGTGCGTCAGAATCGCCTGGAAAGCTTGTTGAAATCCAGATTTCTGGGCCTCCCTCCCATAGTTTCTTATTCTGTGGGTCTAGAGTATGTCCAAGAATTGCATTTATAGCAGATGCTCAGGTGATGCTGGCGGTCTGAGGGAACCATGCTTGAGAATCAAGACTCTGCCCCACCTGGAGAAGGGGAGGGAGCAGGGAGTTCGCCATTGTTTGCAGGGATTCCAGCCATCTGGAATTGTTATTTGCAGTCATCTTTAGAGAGATGAGCCACAATACGCTCCCTAGTTTAGAGTCATGTAATATCGAGGACTTCTAGACGCTAGGCACCCTACCACGCCCTAGAAATAAAGAGTTAACAAGAGGCACCTTGTTAGGTGGCTCAGTCGGTTGAGTGACCAACTTTTGATTTTGGCACAGGTCATGATCCCGGAGTCGTGGGATCCAGCCCTGCATTGAGCATAGAGCCTGCTTAAGATGTTCTCTCTCTCTTCCCCTCTGCCGTGAGTGCTCACGTGCCCTCTCTCTCAAAAAATGAACAAGAGGTAATCCCTGCCCTCAAGAACTTCACAATCTCTTAAGGCTATGGGTACCTTACTCAGTTACTGGACTGCAGTGATGAGGAATTCTAAATCGGGGTAGAGCAACATGTTATGGGAAGGGGCGGGGGATGGGCAACTTACCGTGAGATTCCACTTACCTGATATCAACAGATAAGAGCAAAACCAGTCTGAGTTATATGTAAGAACATGACAATTCCACTCTGAAGCAGGCAGTCATGTTCACTGTGTCTGAGAGTGACACCAAAGGATGGGTTATATCAAAGCAGGAATCTCCGTAATATATTTAATAAGTTGCTTCCTCTGCAAGAAAGAAGGAAGGAGAGCACAGTACGCTGCTCCGCCTCATTCTGCCTGTCTTCTTCCTTCTCATTCTCTCCCATTCATCCAACTCAGATGAAAGTTGCGTACTGACCCAAGCATTAACACTTCTACCATTTCCCTTCCATGGCCAGAAGATTCTAGTTCAAGATATTTTTTCTTTGTGTTTGAAGGAACTATTCTGTCTGAATCACTATAGGGATAAGAATCAGAGGGTAATATAGCATAATC